GTTATTACATAAATGGCTCACTGAACATCTATAAAGAAGAACCAAATTACCGACGGCCTGTCGATGCAAATGAAGCCTCATACTGTATTTAAAAGAAATGTTACCGAACAGTTCTTGTCTAAGCAGCATTAAGTACGCAAGGTCTAGCTATGTTATGTGTGCAACGTTCTAGACATACTTATTACTTCAAACAATCGCAATATAATAGTTGCAAATGGCACAACGATCGTTTTTCTGTTATTTGCCTAAATCGCTGCAACCCGCATTTCGCTAGCATGGCTTGTTGTTTGCAGCATTACAGGATATTATATGTCTGAGAATAAGATATGACGGAGGAAGTATGACCGAGTATCAAATCGCATTTGGCTGCTTGTTGGGCAACAACGGGTAATGCTGTTTGATCATTGATTTCGACATGCGAGATGTAAATACTGTGCGTGGGCGTGGAAAGGTTCGATACGGTCAGCAAAGCGACCACCATCTCTGGAGCAGTACCGCAGTTTCAAAGCAGATGAGAGAGACAATTATTGCAAGCCACTGATAGCTAGTACCCAGTATGAGTTTTGTAAGAATCGCAATCTTATATAAGAAATCACAATTTGACAAAAAGGAATTGCAATATGATAATTGCAGTTGCAGTTACGTTATAGAGGTGTGGGATTGCTCTGAACTTTGTACAAAGTAAGGTTATACGGAAAATGTGCTTCATAGCTTAGAATGATGAATTAGCTGCTTCTGAGCAGTTTCTCTAATTGTTGGAGCATCAATATTAAACTATGACAAGCCTAAAAGGCTTTTTGATTGAAATTCAGACATCGATCAAAAGTGTATATCCATTTGGGTGCATTTTATTAATACGGTACTGAATCATAGGAGCTCCGAGAACCTCCAACTCTTTAGTCAGATCTTCTGCCTTCTTCTCTCCAAATTGTCCATAAACATCGGTTTGGTGTTCTGAATCTCGCACGTAAAGCGCTGTCACGTGCTGCAAAGGTGGTGGTTTACACGCTCCAGGAAGGAAAGTTGGAGCTCAATTCAGCTGCATTGATATTGTGAATTATAGATGAAAGACGAAGCGAATCCTCTGTTACAAAAGTAGCATTTTATAGCCTTTTGAAGCCCTGTTATGAAGAAGCTTCATGCTTTAAATTTAGTTTTTGGAAACATATTGACTACAAAAACTGCTGTTGTAACTAAAGATATTTTTCTAGTCGAATACGTAATGTGGGAGACTCTGGAACTTTCAAGACCGATTCTGTGTTGTCGAGCGCAGTAAAGTCCGGTCCTCGGGCCAATCTAAGAATAGAGGCGAGAGGGACAAAAGCTATAGAGAGGAGTGGGTGCGAATTCGATAAAGATTGACTGTGTTTTACCACCCCAATTCTCGCTGGCACCAGAGCACTCCTCTTTTTCTTCAAGGGGATGAATCGGGGACGTACTCGTATTTCTATTCCTTCTGACCGTGGCGATAAGAATCCTTTCTCCGATCTATTATACCCTTCTTCCTCTTTTAACTATCAACTAAGTAAACAGACGATTCGTGAGTAAATATCCCTTTTAGGTATTTAGGATTTCTAACGTAATCTCTGAATAAATGTTACCAAATGCCTACTTGGAGAATACGATTTTTACAGAAGATGTTAGGAAATGCAAGAAAGTAAGCATCTAGAATACCTACCATGAACATTTTTTGAAACGGAGGAAGCGATATTTTATTCCATATTCGGATATACCCTTCCAAAAAAGACTAGGTTAGGTTTCTTGTGGGTGCATCAATAACGATCCTCCACTGCGACTCTGTAGCTCACAAAAAAAAGACTAATGTAACAACAATAACGGTTTTTATAATCAACTGTCGATTTGTAAGCTAGCTACTGCTCAACTTTGAAACCACTTTCTCAGCCCCCTATTCCAACATTTTGAAAGACTTGATTCTAGGACTATCATCAAGTGGTTTACAAGACGATACACCATCCTAAGAGTTTGAAATACAATATTTACAACAAAAATTGTACTTTTGCATCATTCATTAGCCAGAATTTGAACTTGCTAGCTTGCCACTTCGAAATATAAATGGGGAGGGGTCAACAACTTAAGCACTATATATTAAATAATGCTTTTGTCTGATTGATGAAATACGTTTCAGATAAATGATTTTTTGCAATTCTCTGTACTTATCCAGGGGTATAGTTATATCGTCAATATGTTTCGTTGCATTCTACCCTTCGTTGCTCGATCGTTGAACTATGCCCAGCCTACATAATTACAAAACATTATTGAAACTGGAAATTCTCAGATCAACAATTTCCCTATTATTGGTACTCCATTATATGCTCTATGGTCATATATTATGCAAAATGCAATCCCTTTGCCCTCATTGGTATTCCCGATATTCGCTCAGGGTACAAGGAAACATGAGGGGGATTCAACGTATGTTTACTGCATTATAAGGAAAATTACTCGTGGATATCTGGCTTATCTCTATCTTTTCTGACTATATAGTATTATCATCAAAATCTTGTTTTCAAACATGGGAATCATACAGCATAAACTTTGCTATTTTAGGAATGCACCGAGTACTAAAAATGCCGACTACCGGGTATTCGATCAGATTCCAATACCGAGTATCGGGTAATATATTTACGTTTTTAAAAGGTTCCTTTATTACCAAGATCGGTTTGCTAGAGAAAAAAAACGGTTGGGCTGCTTAGACAACTTTTTGTAAGAAAACTGTTGCAGGTTAGCATATTTACGGCATTTTCAGAGATCTTTTTTTAATATTTGAGTGTTGCAATAGCTAGGTATATGATGTCCACTGCGGAATTCAGAGCTACGATATTGAGTTAAAAGTGAAACCTGCGAGTATGTTGTCATTACATTTTTGGAACATTTTGTTTTCGATATATTTTCCAATCCTTCCTAACACAAGAGAAGCACATTTGTGAGGTATTCAAATCGACAAAAAAGTGTCAATTATACTGAAGAAGGACACCATTGGGTGATTGATTAGTTTGATTGGCTAGACAAACATGGGGGATTATGTTAACCACGAAACGAGAGGAGCTCAAGTTTGTATCCAAAACAGGCTGGGAAACGTTGTGTGAGTCTATTTTGAAAGAGCAATGGGGAAACTGATTTGATGCTTGGTTGTTAGGATATGGTGAGGTGTATTCAATATGATGGAAATTATTTTGAATAATGTAGCTCAAAATTTGTGTTGGGTTCTACGTATTTGAAGCAGTCTAATAGCGGTGCTCTTCATTCTGTCCCTATGTCGCAATGTCTTTGACTTTCTATCATTTCGCCACCAATTTCCGATAAACATATCCAGCTTAATCATAAAGCTGTCAATTTCCGACCCCTATCCCATAAATTCCTTTCCGTCGAAGTACCTTTTCTATAATTAAAAGATCGCAGGTCCGCGTCCGGCCCTTCTGGAGACACTCCCCAGGGCCATATGTCGATTTTCCCTTCACTACCACCGATGCCCTCGACAGTATGGTGCATGCAAAGAGGGCGCTATTCATCTTTGATCGGGAAAATAATGGAAATCCCATTGGGTGGGGTTGATACGTTAGGCAAATGGATGTCTAGCCCCATTCACAGGGATCTTCTGATTGTTTTTCGGATGTGTCAATGGCAGATATTCAAAATTTCCGGATGCATTGGAACACAACTTTTGGATGTTCCATTTTGTGTTTCCTTTGTTGATCTGCCCCCTAACGTTTCTCTTACCTGACCATATCATTGAAATGTTGTTTCTCGGACTTGTCAATAAGGATTTTTGATTTATAGCGTTTCGATTCGAATAGAAGTAATCACAGAAAAAAGTAATTACGTGGTAACTCTGAAGAAATTAACTAAAGCCTTTGAAGATTACGGCATAGAAATAGAGAAGAAATACGCCTGCTTTCAGCCTCCCATCCTAACCGTGTAAGCTTCAAACATCCAGAACTGGCCGATACGACCGCTCATTTGTCCCTAAACTATTAAGATCGTGTAACAATCTACCAGTTTTACTGGCCATCAGTAATAAGATTAACAAAGGCTTAAGCTCCTCATAGCAACAACGGCGACCTGGTATTCAGGTTCGGTATAAAAAGGTAAAATATGAATAAAAACATGATCGTGATGATGCGGAGCCATTGAGATCGCGTTAGAAAAGGAGTCCGGTTTAGGGCAGATTTTGTTCAAGTTTTTTTCATGAACCATATTTCTGCATCTTCTCTAATCTTCCCTCTCAATTTGATCTAAGTCAGTTTTTCGAAGCCTTCATTAGACGAGTTGCTCCTCGTCGACCTTTTGGGCAGCTATATTCAAAATAATTTACAAGAATAGGAATACTACCATACATTTCTGGCTAACGGAGGAACAAGTCATCGGAGTTTCTAGAAGTTTGGAAAAGTAGATTTACTCCAAATGTCGCTATCAGTGTATAGTAAAGCAGGTGACTCCACCATTTATTAAAATCATAATTAAATGTAAGGTGAATGAAGCACTATTTATATATATTGAATACACAATTAATGACTTTCATGTAATGTTTTCTTTTATACAAGGATAATCTTATAGTATGATTACCATTTCTTGCGAGTGTTCAAAGAGTGACACGTTGTTAAAGCTCCAGTGACTTTCGGACGACGAAATTCATGAAACGTTTTGTATGAGTCAGCTAGAAAGTGACGTCGCTCTTCTATAATAATCTGTCAGATAGAAATATAAATGATGAAGGGCTGTTATGGTGCCCTTGCGAAATAAAAACTCCTGTAAGGACATTCCGGTATGTTGAAAATATGACGATGGTAATTTAGATTTTCCGACGACAACTTGTGTCTAGCAATTTTTGCACTTTTCATTTTCCTTCTGATTATAGCGTGTTGTTCCAGATGACATCTGAGGAATATGCTGAAACTCTTATCTATGTGGTTATCAAGAAGATTCAGAAATTTTCTTTTGAATTAATTACAACTGAATCCTACAATGTGATATTGTTGACTTACTTGGTGATCCTAATCCTAGTCTTGCTTGTAACGCTATCTTCGACTCTTCGGTAGTAGGAGGCATAGGCATTGGAGGCATATCTCGCCTCCAGCTCATCATATCTGCCTCGTTCAGCCATAGCTTGCCTGTAACAAAGAGCATTTTGAGAAAATATTGTAATCCAGGACCTTGGCGTGTATTGATTCTTCTCCTCGTCGATGAAATAAATATTAGCGCATCAGCTAGGGGAGTATTGTGATAGTGGGCATTTTTATGATTCAGTTATGAAGTTTTTTGGACGTTTTATGGTTCTGCACCACGAAGTTACGAGTATGTCACTATTTTCCGTCAATTCGTCTGTCAGCCTGTGTCTCTGTTGACGCTCATTTATACTCATACTTCAGTCTGACTGATATTAATGAAATTGGGAAAGTTTGCTGTTGTGTCTTAGTAACACTTCCATCTCAAAAAAATAGGTGCGTTACGGTGTAATTAAGAGCAAAAACGAAAGTGTATCAGATCGTTATCAATCTTGATTATTATGGGTATATTTTACAATTTTCTGATGATTTTTGATCATAGAGAATTAGTCATTTCAAAATTTCAAACGTTTTCAAGCCAAGAAATTCTTTAGGAGAATCAAAATAATTCAAATTTGGCAAGGCTAATTTTTGGAGTCAATAATGAGCTTCAAAGAGCATTTTTATCGAGAGTTTTCAATTTGTACTTTCGGGAAATTTGTAACTATACGTAGATGAATGCGCGGGAAATATCGAGTTAATCTACTTGATACTATTGTTTTATTTCTCTTTTTTGTTCTCTTGAAGTCAAACGATACATTGACTCGTAAATATATAAATTGAGATTAAAACTTATTGAAAGCCCACGATGCCAAAATTTCTGACTGAAATCCACTGGGCACTACTTTCATGACACTCCTCGTTTATGGCTAACGGCGAACACTACGGTCTTTTTAACCAGTCGCACTCGGTTCCTCGCCTAGATGCCATCATACAAATTCTCAAGAGAGGGTTACCTTTTTCAACATTTTTTTTACTAAAAGAATCGACATATTTGAACATTTAGCACCGCATTAATCTTCGGAGACGTTTTATGTTGACACTTTGGCTGTTTTGGTACCAATTTGTCTATGGTATTGTTTGCCTTATACCTCAATGATCTTTGCAGCTGGTAGCTGGCAAGATTGTGAAATCCTCCAATAACAATTCTTGTTTAAACAGTTCTCAATGCCGCATTTTATTCTTCACCCGGTAAGTCAAATTCTTAACTTACCCATACAAAAGGAATGTTTCTGTATTGGAAATGTTTGAAACTTTCAAAGATTTCGGCGTTTCGATTGCTAGCTCACCTTTAACTACCACATTAGTGAAATTATAAGTAATGCTTATCGCACATATGGCTTTATTATCAGACATTTTAGAAATTTCAATATTACAACGCTTGTTATCTTATTTTCAGTGCGTGTTATAAGTAAACTAGAATTAGATGCAATTGTTTGGAGCTTTATCTATGGAAATAATATTGCAAAAATTGCAATGAAATTTCTAAAATATCTATACTAAAGGAGTGCTAGTGTCTGTCCTCCAAGAGGATATCACTATTCACTATTATTGAATAGATTTGGTGTCCCTTCTTTGGAGAAGCGCAGAAAGTACGCGTTGATAGTATCTTGATACAAATTACTGCATAGTAACATCGAATGTCTTGTTTTACTATCGCAAATTGATTTCTCGGTACATAGATTGACAACCAAATATGAAGTTTCCTTTTTCTTGAAGAGGACACAAACAAACTTTCTATATAAAGCACCAATAAACCTTATGTGCAACAATGCGAATGGGATTGGAAATTATTGTGGAAGGATTCAAGAAGTGATATATGCTCACATCTTTGACTTTTATTTACCCCTTGTTCTAGAAGTTTTCGTTTGTTATGTATTTATATGTGAACATTACATGATATAGCTGTATATTCTTTTTTCCTATTAAAATTAATCATATTCATAGTTCCTTTTCTCGCTCTTCAAAGCGTCTTTCCCTTTTTTGTGTTTTTGCCACCTGGCATAGATATAGTACTGTGCAAATTAAATAATTGTACTAAGTGTTGCTTGTATGTATCTGTACTGTTGGAAAATAAATGCTTCATTATTATTATTATTATTATTACTATTATTATTATTATTACTAATCAAACATTTTCCAGGCAAAACACACCATGGAAGAGCTGGGCAAACTGCATCAGCAGTGCATTATTAAATTGAACCAGTCCAGCTGTTTCATTTTAGAATCCTCTGATATTTTCCTATTTTCCATTTCATTCGCTTCATATACAAGTAGTATTTTCCTGACGCTACGCTCCCGGAATCCATGAAAATCTTGATGTGTTTCTCCCTCGTTGCTCCCCTATTGTCCTTAGACAATGTCCGACAAATTTTCGCTCTCGAGTCTGCCGCGTCCCTTCTTTATATACGTGCATTTTCCCAGACTGCTTGTTGGAGACTCATGGTTAAACGAACCATGAAGCCACTGGAAATTATCGACATAGGCATTGTTGTAAACATATTTTCAGTTGGTTTGTATCGGCTGATATGCTTTCATTCATAGATTCGACCAAAAATGATATGAAGTCGTTTGACAAGATATAGAATATGGAGTTCCGCAGGCTTACTTTTTCTCAAAACAGCAACTTTTGATATATATAGAAAATCCTCAAGAGAGGAGACTAACGAACGTTTCGTGAATATATGCTATTAACTCATGAATCTGACTGCGCTGAGCGGTTTATATTGTGCTTTTTTCACCTACCACCACTAGATAACATCAGTTCAGGGAGTATATATACAGGGTATCCACAAGACATCAGGCAAATATTCAATGGGTGATTTTTGTTTTAATAACATGTTTAATTAGCAGAACTCATAAGTAAAATTACTGACTACAAAAACCAACCAAAATGGCTACATTTAGTTTGAAAATAGGACTTCAGTCTTCTCCCAATAGAGTAACGGTGGTTCATTTTTTGTATGTATCCAATAGTTATCCGATTTCTCAGATCTTTCATAACTGACAATGATGTGAAATTGTATCGTTATATGCCTTCATAGGTCTTGGCTTCAACATTGTTTCTCTTACATATCAACGACCTCCTTTCGATCAATCCGATCCACAGCTTTGCTGATAACAGCATTCTACATGCAGTATTTCAGAGTGACAAACCGATCTCTGCTAGTGAGCTGGAGCTATCGCTACTTTGGGATGCAACGAACTTGTACAGTGTCCAAGAAGTACCTTTCTACTTATGACCTCTCCTCACTCAGTACAATCCCAGATTAGACCTAATGTTCACATGTATGGAGTGCTGCCGCCCCGACTACATTATCCATACTTGATGCTGTTCGACTGATCGATAACTCTTTTATAACGGACATTCTCGGGACTCTTTCGCATTCTTCTCTTAGCTCTCTTCTACCCACTCTTACCGTGTCGAACTTCGTACATCCAGAACTGGCCGATACGACCGCTCCTTTGTCATTAGAGTATCTAGATTGTGGAACAACCTACATGAGGGAACTCTTCCCAGTTCTATTAACCTTAAGCAGTTCAAAAATCGGATCAACGAAGTTTCTTCAAGCTCCGAATAGCAGCCACGGTCCCCGGCATTTAGGCTTCTGCCTGCGCGGCTCCTTTGCTCTAAAGAAGGGACGAGGGTCCAAATCCTAAGTTCGAGGAGTATATAAATGCGATCCTGGTCGACCTATTCAACAGTCTCGCATGTTTCTGTTGAGAAATCATCTGCGGCACTAATAAAATTGCTGGGCACTCACGCTCCGACTCTGATATACTCGTATTTGAAGGATTTCGACATTCAATCACAAGGAGATTTAAATCCTGTAACTCATATTGAGATTAATAGTGATTTTGAACAAGGTTTCGGAAAATCAATAAGTGAGGCTTATTTGTGATTCTGCTCGCCCTGTATCTTCAAAACGAATCAAAAACAAAAGATAGAGTAGTCCAAATAATCACAGCCTACATTCTTGCACCGTTGCAAGTTTTCTAAACACTCCGGATATACTGACGTTGATTTATTTCTGAGCATCATTACTTCTCTGTTTTTTCAATCAGTATTCAAATGATCTTTATTAACTTTTCGCCAACCATGGTAGCGATGTCTGATGTACCCACATTGCCGCTCTTTACAATGACTTGGCAGCATATTTATTTTAATTTATTGAAAGAAACGAGATTTTCAGCATTCGTCAATCGTCCGGTCGACTGCGGACAGTGGACTGGTCGCATTTCAAATTCCCTGCCCAGTTTTATTGTTATTTCATGTTAAATATCGAGACTTGGTCTCCACTCCAGGCACAACAAAAAGTGGTCTTTCAGCTCAAAGGCGGCAGTTGCATTCTTTTGCATCGCCACAAAAAATATATACACAACCGACGCTACGTATATGCACTGTGATACAGTTAGGGTGGGGAGCACGAACCAAGAGAGTTCAAAACTAAGTTAGTATGTTGCTGAAAATACAGGGTCTCCTCAAAATTATGACTTTACAGACCGTACAGATCATTCTAAGCATGTTTTTTAGCAACATACCATATACCACATACCATATATACCAAAAACGTACGATGTTGTACTAAGGCTATGTGAGCCAAATCAAGCGTCGCGTAATAATAAACCTAGTTTATAAGAAAACCGCAATTGAAAATGGCACATTCCCAGAGCAATCACGTAGTTAGCGATTTGGTATGGGCATCTTCAAGCTCCCATTGATACTCATCGGGTGTACTCAGGACGACGCCATGGTCCTCGATGTTTTTTTCCATCAGAGCTACATATGTTTCTTTATGCCGTGCAAAAACCGTGTGGTTGAACATAGTTTTTAAATTGAACAGCGATAACTGTACAACTGCAAGAAATGCTTATAAGCAAAACATGTAACAGGGCAATGCTTGAACTTCTTTACCAAATAAATGGTGAGTATTTTTGTTCAATTTCTTTCTTACGTTTTCGGTGTTGTTTTGCCGCGCATCAGCTCTGGTATTGCACATGTATTTTTTAATAGTAATAGTTTATTGTTTTCTCCGACAGATACAATGTATAGAACTCGTGAAAATAAATA